TCTTATGAAAAGACAATTCAGCATCCTTGATTTATCTGGAAAGAAATTTTTGGAATGGAAAGTGGATGCCATGAGGAATTTAAAAGCTCAAGGGTTGGAGCACACTGTTAAAGATAATAAAAGTCTCTATGGTCAAACAACTGATACTACTACTTCTGCAATGATGGTTGAAAAACCTGTTACTGAACAAGAAAAGGCAAAAGCCTTAGTGTCACTACTTAGGAAGGCCTTAAAACTAAATACATGATGGTTGAAGATCCCAAAGAATTATGGGATTGCCTTAATGAAAGATTTGGACACCACAAAAGGGTGCTCCTTCCTAAGGCATTATTTGACTGGAAAAATTTACGGTTCCAGGATTTCAAATCCATAATTGATTACAATTCAACCATACATGAAATAGTATCTATATTGAGATACTGTGATAATCCAGTCACCGATGAATAGATGATTGAAAAAACACTCACTACTTTTCATGCAAGCAACATACTGTTGCAAGAACAATATCGTGAAAGAGGTTTTAAAAAGTTTAATGAATTAATGAGTGTATTGCTTGTTGTGGAACAAAATAGTGATCTTTTGTTGAAAAATCATAATCTTAGACCAACTGGGTCTTTGGCCACTCATCATGAGGCAAATGCAACAAGTTCTTATCCACCTGAGGCAAATGCTACACAAATAGGTGGACGTGGAAATCACAATGGCCGTGGAAATTATCGCGGACGAGGCCGAGGACGTGGTAGAAATAATTTTCAATGAAACAGTAATTTCAAAAATTTTGAAAAATAGAAGGGACAGTCATCTAATCAAAAATTTTGAAAAATTTTGTAGTGAATCTAATATACCAGTAGAAAATGCCCCTGCACGTATTGAAATCCCAACTGATAATAAGGCCATTGAGAATGAATCTCAAGCACACAGAAAGCGCGGGAGACCACTTGGTTCAAAAGATTCTAAACCAAGGAAATTGAAAAGATTGGATGGAATAGAAAATGAGACTAATGATGTTCCCTCATCAAAAGGTCAAGAAAGACCAAATGTGGATGAAGAAAATGATGATAATCCAAAAGGGGATGAACAAGAAAACAACCCTACGGGGAATGAACAAGATGTTCAAAACATCGATAACAATGAAATTTTAATGAATTACGTCTCCACCAAGACTCGGTGGAATAGGAAAGATGTTATCGTGGATGAAAGATTTGCAAATTCCATTGCAATCGACATTGTGTCTGATGAAAATGATGTTGAACCAAGAACAGTGGAAGAATGTCGACACAGTAGTGATTGGCCAAAGTGGAAGGAGGCAATGTTGGCTGAGTTGAAGTCACTTGAAAAACGAGAAGTTTTCGGAAAAATAACTCTTAAACCAGTAGGTGTAAAACCAGTTGGATACAAATGGATATTTGTGAGAAAACGTAATGAGAAAAATGAGATAGTTAGATACAAGGCAAGACTTGTAGCCCAAGGATTTTCTCAAATTCCAGGGATTGATTATGAAGAAACATATTCTCCAGTAGTTGATGCAACTACATTAAGATTTCTGGTAAGTTTGACAATCACAAAAGGACTGCAAATGCGATTAATGGATGTAGTGACTGCATATTTGTATGGGTCACTTGATATAGACATTTACATGAAAGTCCCCGAAGGACTAAAACTACCAGAAAACCACAAACCTAGACAATTGATTTCCATAAAACTAAAAAGGTCACTTTATGGATTGAAACAATCTGGAAGGATGTAGTATAATCGTCTCAGTGAATACATACCTTGTGAAAGAAGGGTTTAAGAACAACCAAATTAGTCCCTGTGTTTTCATAAAGCGATCACAATTTGGATTCGCTATTATTGCAGTTTATATTGATGATTTGAATATTATTGGAACCCCAAACGAACTTGAGAAATCTGCAAAATACTTGATGAAAGAATTTGAGATGAAAGACCTTGGAAAAACTAAATTTTGCCTTGGATTGCAAATCGAGCACTTGAGTCATGGTATTTTTGTCCATCAATCAAACTATACAGAAAGAGTTTTGAAAAGATTCTTCATGGACAAAGCAACTCCAATCAACTTCCCAATGGTTGTTCGTTCTTTGAGTATGAAAAACGATCCATTCAGACCACGAGAAGAAAATGAAAAAATTCTAGGTAACTGAAGGATACATTAAGGGATATAGAACAAAACATATATCCCCAAAACTATTCTTCACACATGATCTGCAAAAGGATGAGGAAATAGATATCCAGCAAATTTAGTCTTGTGACAACCTTGCCGACCTGTTCACCAAATCACTTCCTTCCAAGAAATTTGAGCTATTAGTTCTCAAAATTAGAATGCGACATCTTCGTGAACTATGCTGAAATCAGGGGGAGCATTATATGCACAACACTCTTTTTTCCTTCGATTAGGTTTTTATCCCACTGGGTTTTTCCTGACAAGGTTTTTAACGAGGCAGTATACCAAAGCATATAATACAATAATATCGTTGTACTCCTTTTTCCCTAGCTATGGTTTTTATCCCATAGGGTTTTTACCTAGCAAGGGTTTTAATAAGGCAACTCACACCCCATTCCATGTGAACATTCAAGGGGGAGTGTTGAGAAAAATACAAATGTGAAAGTTCACATGTGGTATTTAGATCAATTATAGCTCTCAATTATATACTCAAAAGTACAATAATGTCTAATATTTTATTTTAAAATCTTACTATGAATAAAGTCTTGATGTAGTAGTAAAACTACGACATTTTCACCCATCCTCTTTCACTTCTTCTTTACTCCTCCTTTCACTGATCAAAACATTTATGTTGGTAAATTCTTTTAACAAATATATATGTACAAGTATATCCTTTGCTTTTTACACTTAAAAGTAGTACTAATAATAGCACCGGTAGTAAACTAGACTTTTATTTTATTTTTAATATAAAATCCGATAACCTTATTATAAATTTGTAAAAAATAAAGTCTAGCTCTTCGATTAGGACTGCAAATGATGCGGATCAAGCCGAGTTTTAGTATGTTCGAGCTAAGCTTGATAAGAATTATTCGTGTTCGAATCATCTCGAGCTTGAACAAGCTTTTAAAAAACTTGTTCGAGTTGGGCTCGATTTGGCTTGTTCGAGCTTTGTTTACGAACGTACTCGTTTGCATTTCGAGTTTAAGTTCGAGTTTGAACGGGTTGAAATCGGGCTTTATTAAATAAACGAGTCCTAATTTATCATTAAAAAAATGGTTTCTTTCAAATTTTAACACATCCATGTAATTTTATATAAGATGTTTATATTCTTTCTATAGAAAATGATAATGACGGAGTTTTCATGCCTTTACCTGATGAAATAATTAGTATGTATGAATAAAAGATATATAAATTGTTCGAGTCTTAATTCGGCGTGTAAAAACTTACAAATGGACTTCAAACGAGCTGTTCATGAACATTAACGAGTCGACATGATGTTGTTCGAGCTTTGTTCATCTATTTTACGAGCTTAAAATTTTTGCTCAAGCTTGTTTATTAGCTTAACACACGAGTTTTGACCAAGCTTTGACCTAGCTTGTTCGCGAGTAGTTCACGAAAATATCAGCTCAATTAATTTACACCCCTAACTTCGATCAATAGCCTTGACATTGGTATAAGTGTAAAAAATAATAGCAAAATAAAAAGGAGATGACTTAATAATTTAAATCTCCTCTCTCCTCCTTTCTCTCTCCTAAACCCTAGCCTCGCTCCATTTTTGTTTTTTGAAGGGGCTTTCATTAGTTTTAACCGGTGGAAAGCCCCAATCTTTGTTTCTTTAAAAAAAAATTTAGGTTTATAATAATGCTTACTCCTTTTGGGAGGAACTTTTTTCCCTCGAAAGAAAGGGTTTCCGATCTCCTTCGAAAGACAAGGGTTTTTCAACCTCCTTTGAAAGACAAGGTTTATATCCTCTTTTCGGGGGAGAAATTTCCTAGGTTTGGATCCATGATATTAGATCTAATGATTATCGCTAAATTATTTGGTTGGAGAAAAATTATGCGAGATCGCAAGGGTTATCAAGCTTTCGAATACAATCAGATGAATAAGAAAGAAAACATCCTCAAGGCTACAAAGGGTCCTTAGATTGTCTTTCCAGAGATATAAGCGGGATATTTTCCACAATGCAAGATCTACTCGAGGATCATAGTTTTTATGAAGGAAATTTTTATTTGATTCATTATCTTATGTATTTGTTAAAGTCGAATCTCTTCTGTAGATGTTGTATGACTTTTTATTAATGATTTTTTTTTATTATATAATACTCTGTAATATTTAGTAGCAACCATGCATTGCACGAGACTTAATTTAGTATAAGATAATTTTGTGAGAGAAGTTGTAATACTTGAGAGGAAATGACTCTAGATCTATTTTAAAATTCACAATGTTTTTGCAAACTAATAATAAATTATGCATAGAACATGATTAAGTAGCAATATGCACCATACAAACTCTTAAATGGCCTAGTTCACACTAATTTATTGTGGACCACTAATATTAGAGATACTATGCTTGTTTTACTAATAAAAAAAAAGTCACTATATTAAAATAAAGGTTATTATGTTGAAATAAAGGTCATTGTGGCATTATAAAGGCTATAAGAGATTATTTTAGCTTTTTTAATGAAATTTTTTATATATTGGTCAATATAAATAAATAAAGGTTACTATGTTAAAATTAGAGTCACTATGTTTAACGTAACGTCGTACTTTAGATTCACAATAATATTAAATGTCATATAAATTTTAATAAAGGTTGCTATGTTATAAAATAAGGTTATTATGTTAAAACTAGGGTCACTATGTTCCATATAACTGTCAATTACGTGTGTCTAAACCTTGAGTTTACAATAATACTATTGCGAATCAGGTCCACGCAAGACTTTTTGTATGCACCACGTACTTTTATACAAAATAACTAATGCAATAAAAAAATTAAAAAAATTAAAAAATTTAACTTGCAACATACCATGAACAATATGAGGTGAAACAATAGGACATACGTGCCTTGCAGATTGTTTATATTCGATTACAAAGAATGATATTTCTGAGAGTGAGGGATAGCTTAAGTGGTTAGAGCTCCCCTCCCGATTCCAAGTGATATTGGGATTATTTCTCACCCTGCCCTTATGGCTCTCTAAATACCACCAAAAAAAAATGAATGATATTTCTTGTGTATATTCCAAAATTCAAAAGAAAAAAACATTTCGTATACGTTGCTTAGAAAGGCAACAAAGAGACAATAATACATAAATTATCAAAACAAAAACAAATTGAAATTAATTAATTTAATAGGAAAACAGGGAATCTATTTATATCACACATTAATTTTGCCAATTTGGTTTAGTAGGTTATCTAATAATTGGGAACAAACGTGCCCACATAACCGAACCCAGCAATGAAAAATGCCAAGGATTGCAAGAATAGGTAAATGAAGTAGTGGTTTCTCCCAAATGCAACATCATAGCATCCGCAGAAAAATAGGTAGGCTCCTACCATAAGCTCCAACATATTGATTCTGCAACCAAATTTTGTCAATGGGTTAATAGGTGTAAGGCAATGTCGTCCATACACATTTGATTTCGAAAATTCTCGAGTTTTTAGGCTTTTAAGTACTCCTTTTGATTTTTTAAAAAATACATCACTTGAATTTGCATATCTCAAGTTAAAATGTTGTCCACTATTATATTTAATTAGATATTTGTAAATAAAAATTCAAAAATTATATCATAAAAGTAGACATGTTACATGAGAACCTTTATATATTATATATTAGTTAAAAAATTAAGTCAAATCTGTAAAGCTCCAAGTGATGAATTCAAATAAACGGAGGCCGGGAGTATTGTTCATTTTAAATATTTTGGTTACAATAATGTTGTTCATGATGTGTTACCATTACTTGAGGAACTTTAAAGTTTTGTAAAAATTGTGTCAAGTTTTGTAAATTTGCTTAGAAGTAATGTAAGTTTATCAATAACTAGTTCAGAATTGGTTGATTTAAGTGTTGTAATCAATTTATTAATAAATAAAAAATTAAAAGAGAACTTACTTTTCTCCAATTCTGCTGCGAGGTTTCTTGAATGATTTAGCACTATTTAATTTGTTTTTTAGTGCATCTCCTAATTTCTCTGTAACAACCCATTCGTTGACTCTCCCAGCTTCTAGGAGGCCGATAAATGTTGCTTTAGTTCGATGCAATGACATAACATTCTCGAATAGAATCCAAAACACTACAAGATGAAGAGATCTGCATAATAGTCAAATAAAATGCATTTACATTAAGCATTCTAATGAAAACTGCTTTCACAGTTAAAAATTTGAAAGACATAATTGTGTCTAACTAAAAAAAAACTAAAACTCTTGGAAATATTAAAAAAAAAAAAAAAAAAAAAAAAAAAAAGGGAAAAATTGAGAAAAATAATCTCAACTTTGTCTCATCTGTCCAAAATAATCTCAATTTTAGATTATTAAAATAATAATTCGAACTTTAACTAGCTGAATAGGTGAACTTTTTTTTAAAAAAAAAAAGTAAATGACACATGTCACAACGTGATTGGTCAAAATATATTATTAGTACTAATTTTTTTTGAGGCAGATTATTAATACTATACTAATTAACAATTAACTAATTATTTTAAAACTAACTATTTTAAAAATAATTTAAAGAAAAACCACCACCAGCCACCCTCCCTACCCTTCACCCCCACCGGCGTCCGCCCCAACCCGGCCTGCCCCTAGACTAATTCCCGTCGGCGTCCCCCTTCCCCGCTGCAACCCCAACCCTCCCTTTCCCCGAAACCGCTTTTTGCAACCAATTAATCCCCACTCGCAAGCTGCAAAACCCTTCTGCAACCACGAAATCGGAAAAGGCGTGGAGGTTTGGGTAGGTCGGGGTCGCAGCTCGCAGGCAGGCGCGGGAAGAGGATCGGCGAGGGTGGAGGCGGCCTGGGCCGCGGCATGGGCTGGACGGTGGCATGGGCTGGGTGGGTAAGGTGGTTGGGGCGCTGGTAAAGTGGTTAAAAAATTCCAACTTTTGTTTCGAGATATTTCTTAAATTTCTTTCCAATTATTCATTATCTTGTACAGTACTCCGTAAATATTTTTTTTTCCTTTTTACACCTTCTGTAACAACATCGTATTTCCTAATTTTTAAAAACAAAAAAAAAGACTCGCGTAGTCGCGTGCACCCTCTTTCTTCTCATTTCCCTAAGTGTTGTTACATCCATTGAGAGGAACTTTAGAGACAGGCAGTACTTTGTAGATCATGTACATACTACCTCGGTTAAATATTTTGTGCAACTTTAGAATATTTTATATCTCACAAATAATGCCCAAAGTTGCACATAATAATTAACAGAGGTAGTATAAAAATTGACGGGGGCTTTTTTTTTTTTTTTTTTTTTTTTTTAATTCGGCCCAATATTCAATTTTAATATTACAGTTTAAATTATAATAAGATAAAGTGAGATATATGAAGGAAAATGATAAACATAACCCTAAGGAATATGTATAAGAAGCTAAGAAAGAAAATATTAAGGATAAATTAACATTAATTACACCGATCTGCACCTGATTTTATAGTGAATTTCTAACTTAATTCCATTTTAGAAAGTATATTTTAGAAAGTATATTTAATGGTTATATATAGCCCTAGCTCCAAGGGCTACTTATATGAAATGGAAATTCAGTAGGGAAATTAGAGGGGAAGTCAAACCTTGGGGTCCCAACAGCATTGAGGAGAGTAATAGTGCTAGGAATATAAACAGCTGCCCACTTTGGCACTTCAACTTCTGGGACCAAAACTGTTGCTGGCAATACAATGCAATAGAAAATGAAGGTAACAATGTGCGCTACTATTTTCCTAACAAAGAAGAAGCTGTATATCACATGAACCTTCTTCCATAGTGACACTTTCTGCAATAATGTCAAGATACATCTCAAAATCATCACTATATTTGGAAATATTAGAGACATTGCTTAATTTGGATGAATTATTTAGAATGACTAACCTTATTTGTTATGATTTCTTGTACCATTTTTCTAAATAGATTAGCAGGGCCACATGACCATCTATGTTGTTGATATCGGTATGCTTTGAAGGTACTTGGAAGTTCATTTTTTACCTGGACAGAGTAAATGAACCATTATAGATCTCCTCGATTGTCTTGAATACTTACAAAAATTGAGTTTGTACGTAACTTAACGATGTATAGATTGTGAATAGTACGTGACATTGAGAACAATGGAGTAATTAATACCACCTCCCCATTGGTACTTTGGTAAGAATTTGTGGGGTAATTTAGGACAAACAGTTTTGAAAAATTCCAAATCCTCTCAAACAAATAGGTGACATTTGGAAATAATTTGGATTAATTTTCATTCCCACCATCAAGCTCCAACAAAATAAATACTTTGTAGTTTGTACCCCAATAATTAGAACACTGGACATGTAACCTTCTTCCCATTATGACTAATTTCAACATCATTATCTAATATGTTCCTCACTAGGTGTCACTTATTCATTTTTCACAATTATCACAAAACAATAGTGAACATATTCCTTAATAATCAAAGATGATTACTTTCACAAATTCGTACAATAAACCAACAAAACTCTATTACTTTTCATCCTCCACAGTTACTAAATAATACTCCCTCCGTTAACAATTAGTTGCAACACACCTTTTATCACGCTTTTCGATGAGTTGATTAAATTAGGTAAACGAATTAATTAAGCTATGAAATTTTAACCGTAGCAACTTATCCCTTTCTTCTTATCGGTGGTAAAATTTTGTGATTTAATTTATCCGTTTACCTAGTATAATATCTCCCTTAAAATGCGTGCCAAAGAGGTGTGTTGCAACTAATTGTTAACGGAGGAAGTACTTCGTATGGGACAAATTCCATCGATTTGGAATTAATAATCACGTATGATTACTTCGTATCATAAATCTATAAACCAAATGTAAGACAGAGGAATTCAATCTCAACCTCTAATAGCTCGAGTCCTTTATGGCTCTACTAATGTTCATTAACATTAAATTGGGATCTTTTATTGAATCGGCTAGGTTAGCAAAACTATTTACCAAAATGGCTACATTCAAATTCTAATTCCAAAACTAGCCAAATATTACCAATAACCATTAATCATTTATTTTATATCATTTTTCTTGTGAAATGGATTGGATTATTTCTTAATTTTTGGTTCAATTTCGTTTGATAATATTTGAGAATGATATTATCAAAAAAAATTATCATTCTACATCCCAACTAAATGATCAAATTAATTTATATTCAAATAATTGTACTCTTTAATTTAAAAAGAAGTAATGATTACATTATTTCTTGTCATATATCTAACAAGATTTAAAATCGTACCGTTACTTGTATTTTTTTTTTAAGATCGGACAATTTATGTGTTTATATGATAATTTTATGATTTTATTTGTTGTTTATTTACTTTAATTTTTTATAATAAAATAAAATGTGGATTTTTTTCTTAAAGTTCTATAATGTAACATTTATTATTATTATTATTATTATTTTTTTTAACTTCCAAATTTCATTCATTAATTTTGATTGTGTGGCATTTGAATGATTTAATTTAGAAAAAATTGCATTTCTTTTTTTTCTTTGGCTAAATAATTTTCTATATGACGCTCTTAAAATTTAGAAAGTAGCTCCCCTACAAAAATTATAGTCATTTACTTTAATACATGCGATCATGTGGATGTAATAGGCCGGGTACTAGCTAAAATGCTAAACATTGAAATATTTAATTTATAATAAAGTTTTATCAAAGCCAACGCCTCAGTAAGTTCAATTCCTCCAAACTTTCTATTACCAAACTTTACAAACCCCTGCCACGCCCCGAATTTGAAAAAAAAAAAAAAAAAAAAAAAAAAAAAAAAAAAAAAAAAAAAAAAACCAACCTATTTATAATTGTTAGGTTTCTTTTTAAATTAAGTAAATTATATTGAACCAAAAGAATGGGAAGAATTCAAATCCAGTTCACAAGGAAAAAAAATTGGTTCAATGGATATATGCTATATGTAATAAAAATAGTCAAAAAAAATTGGTTCAATGGCTAGTTTTAGAATTAGAATTTAAAAATAGTTATTTTGGTAAATAATTTTGATAAACTAGCCAATTTAGTAATCATACGTGATTATTAGATATAGATTTATGATTGGTACCAGAATTTTTCTTCATTAGTACCAACAAAATATTATTGATAACAAATAAAATTCTATGTTAGGCCTTAATATTAAGTAAAAATAATTTCAGTTAAATAAAAATAAGTTCTGTTCAGTAAAAATAAGTTCAGTTCAGTAAAATTCAGTACCTTAAAAGAATAAATATAATAAAAATCAATAAAAATAATTTAAGTTCAGGAAAATTAATTTCAGTTTAATAAAATTATTTTTAGTTCAGTAAAAATAATTTAAATTCAATAAAAATAATTTCAGTTCAGTAAAAATAATTTCAATTCAATAAAAATAAGATTAAGTGAACGGGATCTTATTATGTTAGCATTAAAAATGATAACATCTACACGCAATATAACACCAACGAGCATTATTAGAACCACCAATGACACAAACTATTAAAGGCAGAGAATTTAGATGCAAGACACACGTTGAAAAACTAGGTTAATGTAATCTAATGAGAGGATAAAAATGAGTAATACCTTAAGGTCACCCACATAAACAAATTTCCAACCCTTAAGACTGGCCCGCACAGCCAAGTCCATATCCTCCACAGTTGTTCGATCTTTCCACCCACCAGCCTCATTGATTGCTGATATCCTCCATACCCCAGCTGTCCCTGCAACAATTACAACATTCATCATTATTTATTATTACCATTTTAATTTTCAACCTATATCTTTCACCGTCTCTAAAAATTTTTCCTTTTATGACTTTATTTTGTGATAAAACCACCGCTTAATTTCATACAGGAAAATTTTTTAAAGATAGAATATAGTATATATTATAAGAAAGTTGGAAAATACATTGAAGTTGAATAAAGAAATAAAATTAATATACCATTGAATCCGAAGAAAGCATGGGTGGAGGACCCAACTTCTTGCTCCACTGTAAAATGGTAGTCTAAGGACATTTCTTGCATCCTCGTCATCAGGCATTCATCCGCATTCACTACATTTCAATTTAAATTATTAAAAATAAGGCACAATCAACAATAAATACCAGTCAAAACGAAAACAAAAAAAAATAAAATAAAATAAACGTTTGAAATTTTTGCATGCATGTTCATTTTAAAACTCTTTAATTTTACAACTACTTTTATATGTAGCCAGTTTTTATGAAGTTACTTCGTATATGTCACAGGGGTTACTCGGTCATAGATTGTTGTCAGTATTATAGAGGTTATTTTTTTATGTCAGTATTATAAGAATTATTTTGTGAGTGGTCATATAGTGTGGTAAGCCACACACAAAATGCACGATAATTTTTTATATTTTTTTGACAAAATAAATTAACAGAGAATAATATAATAAATTTTATTATAAAGTTTCTTTATATTGCATTGTTATCTTAAATAATGTATGTATTTTATCCTTAAAATAGTTCTTATTGCTATAAATAATAACAACATCCCTAAAAATATTAATTAGATAGTGATTTTCATAGTTTACATTATTAGTATTTGCACCATGCAACCATGTGTATTTCATTCAAGGCATGCTGCAAGACTCCTAGTAATCAATAATAACAACTCTAATAACTCCTTGTCGCCAAAAGATATAAAAAATATTCGGAGTATATACAACAAAAAAAAATTCACAAAATAAATTATACTCCGAATAATTCAGACCAACCAATAAATGAAAGTAGGAATGTTATTGGAGGAGTGTTTGGATAATGAAAACTTTCATCTTGAATACTACTATGTATACCTTTTGATAGATTTGATGATCTATTAGTTAGTATACTTTCTACTATTTGCATGGTTATGAACATGTTACATAGTTGCGATAGATCATAAATTCGTATTTTACCCCCATTTTTTTTTTTTGAAACCTTACCCCCACTTAATCGTAATGTCAATGTAACTTATTAAAAAAAAAAAAACAATACAGGTATATTATAATTAAAAAAAAGGATATATTTAGGAAATTTTATAAGGGATGCATTAAAAAGGAAAAAAAAAAAAGTTTTAAGAACCTTTATTAACAATGTGGTGATGGGGGAGTAGTGTATTTCGATCATTAGAATCTTACATTTTACGATTCTTATCACTTTATTAACGTTTTTTTTTAAAAAAAATACTGTAAAAAAATTTGTAGAGAATTTTTAAACATTTAAAATCTCTAATTTGTATCTAGTTTTATAAAACAGGATACAAGTCATACAACAGTAACCCAAACTATTACTACCGACACGACAAAATGCAAATAGTAGAATTTGACTTTAAAAAATATAATTATAAAATGATATACTTTCTCCGTTCTATCAATATTGCAACAAGGATGAAATTACGCATCCTAATGCATATTTTATATGCTAAATATCTATAATTGTGTAAGTATAAAATTTATAAAAAGTTGATATTGTGAAAGTATTTTATGAGACGAATCCAATAAGATTCCACATGACTATATTTTACTTAACGTATAAATCATATTATATGGTCAAACAAGAGTGATGAATAGTGCAAAAAGTTCATTGTTACAATATTAATAGAACGGAGAAAGTATTTAATACTAGTGAATTCTAGAGCAACAAAGTTTGATACTCCGCTTGTATATTTAATATTTTACGGTAATAAACATAGTTCTAATCAGATCTCAATTTTCACATTTTTTTTCTCGGTATTTACACGCCAGATATATGAAAATAGTTAAATAGGAGTGATGTTAGGAAATCTCATTCTACAAGTACCCTTACTTAATAATATTGATTCCTAAGCCTTTAAGATTTAATTAATGTACGACTCTTATTAAGTGAATCAAACTTTACTTTCTGATGATATGGCAGTAACGAAAGAATAATACAAGCAAAAGTGTATTATACAGTGAAATAATCGGACTGCTTTTCTGGAATCACAGAGTGCATGCCTTTTTTCTTCTCAACCACAAAGGAAGTAAGCAATGGAGAAAAAGAGAAAAGTCATAAAGATCACCCACATTGCAACACATAATTTCCTCCAAATAAATAAAATCCCAAAAATAAAAACAAAATCTAAGCACCGACAGTCTTATAAAATTCTCAACTCATTGCACTGTCACATCTTATAAAGTATCATCATCAATCCAACTTAGCTGGTCTCTAAAGTAGTTGGGTAGTCTGTATTAATCACCAAGATCATAAAAGTATACACTAATTAATCATTATTAGATTATCATGTGATTAATTACATGTATTAATTATATCATCATCATAACATTATATTGTACGTATGACAATTAATTAAACACTTTCATGTTTATTAAACTAACTAAGCTAGGTTTTGAAATTTATTTATTTATATATTAAGAAAAAGGATCATATTAAACCAGTTACGCAAAAATTGTCTACTCTAAACCATAAAGTGATGCGAGGCAAATATGTATAGCAATGTGGTTGATTAAAATATTAACTAAACATCATAATAAAGTATGGCATGCTTATAATGCGACAATTATATATAATAATGAATTAATTAAATTGGAAAATTGAATGAGATCATACCAAACTTCCAACGAGCTTGAACAAGACCAATTTCAGGGTTATGAACTAGAAAAGGGATAGTTCGCCAAAGAAAGTCAGGCTCAGGTTGAAAATCAGCATCGAAAATAGCAACAAAGTCACACTCCTTAACATAATTATGCTTCATTCCTTCCTTAAGTGCCCCTGCTTTGTACCCTTTTCTGTTGTCTCTTATCTCATATTTTATGTTTATTCCTTTGCTTCCCCATCTTTGGCATTCCATTTCCACCATATTCTGTTTCATATGATATTTTATGTCAAATCGTTACAAATAATATAAAATAAAAGTAGTACAAACTTTGTTAATTACATCATACTATATGATATATGCTAGCTAAAACTATACTTTAAAATTAATAATGTATGTTACACTATACAATTAGTAACTCATTACCTTAGTAATTGGATCAGTTGAATCGTCTAGCACTTGGATTATGATACGATCTGATGGCCATGAAAGCCCACATGCTGCTCCAATTGATAATTGATATACCTATAATAGTAAAAAAAAAAAAAAAAAAAAAAAACACTTACTCCATTATACATTTCAACAATATTTGATTTTAAATTAGTCGGCGTCTAACAGATTCTATGCACAGGTATTAAAAGATTAACTAACCTCTTTCTCGTTGTACATGGGAATTTGAACAAGAACCATAGGGTAATTAGAGTTCCCTAGCTCCAAATCATCCTTCAATGGTTCCCAATTATACCTTTTCTCGGGTTTACGACCGAAGATTTTAATCAGTACAATAACAAACCCCATATAAACTCGTTCCACGAACAGCATCAATGACATTCCTAAACAAACCTTTACCAATAACTTAAGTAACGGAATTAATAGTGGATATTTAGCTTGATCCCAAATCAAACCAATTTGGCTAGTAATATCATCTACATTTCCAGGTTGATACGCCGAAATTCGATCCATTATTCAACCAAATTGGCTATTAATCAAGGATGAAAGCTAACTAAGCTAACAATCTTCCAACTTATGGACACTTATATTGTTAGTACGACAAACATATATAGCATATATACACTTTTGTAATGACTTTGCGAAAAAGGCACGTATTTTAGCTAAGCATAGTATGTATATTTGTTTGGCTTGCGAGTTACGATTATCAAAATTGATGGGATTATGTCAGAGGAAGAAATAAAAGCAGAAAAATCGATCGAGTGCTGCAGCATTCGAGCTGTAGATCATCAGTAAGTGATAAGAAAAAGGGTGAATTTTTGGAGCTGCTAATTGAAGCAAAGGCAAGAAAATGAGAAAGAAAGAATTTTTTTTTTTTTTTGAGAGGATGAGAAACAGAGACAAAGAGAGGTGTATGTTGAGCAAAAGCAATGAATGGCCTGATCTTTGGTGCTCAAGTACACAACCTCTACTTCTTGTTTATATTCAAGACTAACACAAATTTATTTATAGTAATACAACCATGCATATTATATGCGAGGGAATTGAAATAAGTTCTTTTTTATATATATAAATAAATATGAATGAAGGAGATTATTAAAAATATTTGTGTGTGACTGACCACACCACGTAGCTACTTATAAAAGAACAAAGTAATACATATAGCGCTATCCTAGTGGCCCCTTGTAAAATTGACCGAATGACCTCTATAATACGCACGAAGTAACCCTTATAACACTAATCGAACACCCCTTATAACACTCACGAAGTAACCCCAGCCATGTATAAAAGTTGTTAAAAATATATTGTTGTGTAATATAGTAATGAAAATGACTTTGAATCTGCTTCTGAGAACGCAGCATTTTGGAAAGCAGATTTAGGTGGTTGTTGGGCAAGATTTTCCGGCTTGTTCTTTCAAAGTGTAGAATACCGACCATGTATATTGAGTGTTTATTTATTTTATTTTTGTTTAGCTAATTACTTTTTTCAGTATTTTGTTTATTGCAATGTTTTGTTTCAGGTTCAGCCTTAAACACTAGCTTCTGTGCAGAGTTTTACGGGATATATATAGAATACAATATATAATGGTATATACGAATAGTGGATGACATGTTGAAAAATCAAATACTTCATATTAAAATGTGAGATGAGAGAAATAATAAGGTATTGATTGTAAGACTGAGAAATATACAACTAATAATAGTATTAGTACAACGTCTGATTGTTTCAATGCACTACTTTCTTATTCTGGCCATTTTATTTTCTTAAGTACATTAATTTTTTCACATCTTTATTAATTTTCTATTTTTTTTGCTCCCATCTCATGGTCCATAAATCTATTTTTTAAGGAATATTATTTACAACTTCTCACGTCCTTAGGTCTTACTCCATTATCTCTTTTATTATTATTTTTTTTTAAATCATAACAAACTCTACTTACACAATATTTTAATTCATTCAACTATTCTCCTAAAACTCAATGATAATCAAAGCGATGCACGTAAAAAAATGGAGTGAGTAAAATGTTTCTTAAAAGAGAAAATGTATTATATTTTAAAAAAACACGATAGTTTGAGAAAAGTGTATCACTTAAAAACAACAAAAGTTGTACACAGTAAAAATAAATTTTTTTTTGACAATAATTACAACAAATTTCTAACAACTATAACATAATTATTCACTCACAGCTATACATTTGTCCATTCGAGATTGATGGTTTGATTTCATGACGAGTTTATTGGGTAATTGGATAGTGGGTTAAAATGGATCAATCGGTACGAAACTAGTAGGTCAGTTTTAAAAAATTAGCGGGTTGAATAAGTTAATTTTTGTACAATTTCAAATCAAGCTGGGTTATTATTGGGACGAGTCATATCTAGGTTGGATTGTAAAATGTTGGTTGGAAAGAGTTATATGCTGGTTAAAGCCTTGGATTTATATGGGGTCACATTATAGTCGAATCATAAACAAATTGAGTTAATTTAATCAGGTTCAAGATTAATATAATGAGTCAGGTCTCAAATGAAACCATTTGTACTAATTGATTAGCGGATAGAAATGGTTTTGAGTTGAAACATGTTAATTTGGCCAACGGATCAATTATGATCGTAGTTTTTGTGGTAAAGCGTACAACTTAATTAGAATGGCTTTCTCGTAAAAAAAATAAATAAATAAAATTAGAATGGCTTTGATTGTGAGTTTGTGACTATCGAATTAAAACTACAAAACACCTGCCGACAATATTATTGTGTTAATAATGATCGCTCAAATTTATAAATAAAAAACCTAAAGTGGCTGCTATCACTAAATATAATATTTATGTTGTAAATAAAATAATGTAAATAAGTTAATTATATTAAAAGGAGAAACATAATGGAAGTACGTATAATAGAATCTTTACATTCTTTATTAATACGCATTAGAAGAAGACCAATTAACTACCAACTTTTGTCATCAAAAAAAATCTTTATAATGTATGATCAGTCAAAGTTGAACCCGGATTAATCCATTTCATCATGTTCAGATATCAAAATCTGAAAAGGTAAGGATTACCTAAAAAAGCATGTTAATTATGATTTGTCTATTATAAGGTGGAGATTAGTGTAGTCAAATTGATATAATTAGTTTAAAAAGAGATACGGAGTAATAAAGTATGACTACCTCTCCCTGAATAATATTCCTTACGTTTATATGGACTAGCGACTACAGAGCATCACATTATACTAATTGTACATACTCAATAGAGTGGACTATAGAGTATCACATTATACTAATTAACCAAACAAATTTGTTGGATTTGGTTGGAAACTCGCTTGTCTATAATAGTTATAGTAAAATCGAGGACATTCAATGTAAAACTGACACGTGTCGCTCTTATAATGAAAATTTTCCCGCCTAATTACAAAATACTAGTTATGGTTATTCTAAAGTTTATTGTAGTATATTAATATGAAATCTAAAGGAATCTTTTTACTTACTAATAATCACTAAACGATCTCATTAAATTAATATTAAATAATTTATAGGCTATCTTATATTCTTATATAACTAAATATGGTACTATATATAAACAATAAAATATTTTATATCATATAAAATGATATCATAGATTTTAGTTAACAAAAAAAAGAGCTTTATATAAATTAAAAAGATTTCGAATAGAGATCTTATTTAGGGGTGTCCATAATTCGGATAAAAACCGAAATCCAATCCAATTCAAATCGAATTATCAATTCGGATCGGATCCGAACTTTAAATCGGATCGGATTGGATTGAGATTTTTTGGAAATTCGGATTTTCGGATTGGATCGGATTGACCCTAATTGGATCCAATCCAAACCAAAAACCGAATTGTAAAATTAAGCTTGTATATTATGAAGTTTAGCTCAAATACATAATACTAAATAAAATAAATTAGAGAGACTTTGTATTAATTAATTAATGACTTAACGTTGAACTGTGTATTTTAATCATGATTTTGAAGACTTTTATTTTTAGTAAAACTTTATTTTTATAATTGTATTAGGCGCTAAAAAAATAATGTATTATAATTCGGATTTTCGGATCGGATCCAAATAACCGAATTTTAATTCGGATTGGATCGGATTGGATCAAGAGAGAAATTCGGATCGGTTCGGATTGGAAAATTGAAAACCGAATTATATTTCGGATTGGATCGGATTTGGACTAAATCCAAACCGAAAACCGAACGGACACCCCTAATCTTATTAATTATATTAATAGTAAATAATGTATACTTTATCACATATAACTAAATGTATACAAGTATTATTGTGTGAAATACCAATTTTCCGATTTGATTTTAGTTAATTATTGCAGAGTATTCATTATTTGATTCGTCTAATATTTTTTTTTGGCAATTTTAGATTTGAATTTAATAGTAAAAATATTCATAAAAATAATACATATGCCAGAATAATACTTCAATATTTTATTGTAACAGATTTATCTATATGACGTAGAATATGATATGACTCATATGAGTCTTAATATATACTACCTCCGTTTTTTTAGTTGACACGTTTTGAATTTAACACTATTCACACACTTTTCTTTAACCGTATTTTGTGATTTATACGTAATAAAAAATATAGTCATGTGGAGTCTTGTTAGGTTCGTCACGATGCATTGTTTCAAAATATCAACTTTTTATAATTTTTGGTAATCGGTAATTAAAGATATTAACGGTTAAATTTGTGCATTGACAAACGTGACTAAAAAATGTATCAACTAAAAAGAAACGGAGGAACTACTTCGTAATAGATAAATGAGTCCTATAGAATAAACAAAAGATCCATTTTTTTTGAACAAAAGATCCATTAACTTTAAGATTCTATTCAAAAAAAAAAAAAAAACTTTAAGATTAAAGTTTTTAATAAAATAAATAAATAAATAAAAACTCAAATGATAAAAAGAAGCATTATACAATCGCTCATATTATAGTAGTGTAGCTTATGGCACATAATATAGAATATAGATAAATGATCTTAAATAGATGATGAATACAATATATATGCTAGGATATACACTTGTATACTTCTTCATGACCAACTTACGTTGTTATAGTTGTTTTTTTTTTTTAAATTAAAATGAAGATTCAAATGATAAATAGAACCATTATATGATCATTAAAATTATATTGTAGCTTATGACATAGATTAACGGCTAGTTAATTGAGGTAAGGTGAAATATTCAACAGCAGTAGTCAAAATGTATTTATAATAATATATTTTAATTTAGAATAGGGTGAAAATATTACGAGTATTAAGTCACTATATAATGTTTAATTGTCAAAAAGCACAAAAAAGTAGATTGTCATAAAGAATAATAAACAAAAGATATATGGGAAGGAAATAAGAGAATATTTAAGCATAATATATGAATTTAATTTGTCAATATAATTTCTTGATTCTAAAATATTTTATACATTATATATGATTAAAATAGTGTAGTATTTCCGTATATCCATGTTATATAATCATTCTATAATTGTGAGCTTAAAATTGCGTGTTTTTTTTATCAACAATCATGCTTAATAGAATTTTTTTTTTTTTAAAAAAACTTAACTTAGTAGCCTCTATCCCTCTAAGTCTACACAGTACATTTACCTTCTAATTCTACTTCTCCAAACTTGATATCCGATTATAAAAAATACCAAACTTAGCTACCCCACTATAACATCAAAATCCAAACTGAATTGTCACAATCAATACAGCAAAATCAGGAAAAAATGGATGTTTGAATTGCCGGTAATAATGAAAATCAAGTGGATTTAAACAACAACCAGACCCAGACCTAGACCTGGATTTTTTGAGGTGGATCCAGATACAGCCCAGATCCACTAGGTCTAAATAAATCAGTCCCAGATAGATCCAGATATACTGGGTTTAGTGGGTCTCATGTCTAGCTAAAACGGGTCCAAAATGGGTCTAATAGTATAACTATCCTACTACATGTGTGACTATATATATATATATTAAACAATCTTGCTGCATAGTTACATATCAAAATAAACTTCATATAAAGAAAAGATACAGTAAGAAAA